AAGGACTTACAACCCTACTTACTAAGTCCCATGATCCTTTAAGTACCCTAAACCCTAAACCCTAAACCCTAAGTCTTTAAGTACAGATTTCAGCCCAGCATCGCGGGACCCAGATCTCGTAGACTTCCCCGGGCGCACCGAGGACATCTTGCCTGCAGAGCATGGCTTCTGTGTGAAGAAATATATGGGTAGTTGTCAAAAATTATGGTCCCTTTTGGGGTACCCTAAATAATAGGTGCCGTACTATAATAAGGACCCAAAGAGGGACCATAATTTTGACAACCACCCATATGGAGGGTCTCCCAAAATAGGGGACCCTAACATGGTTAAATAGTAGGACCCTTTTTATAAGGACCCCCAAAATATTATAAGGACCCCCAAATAAGGTACCTAATATCGGAAACTCCAACATAAACACCCACCTCGCACACGACTGCAGAGAGTCCTACAGAGTCCTATGAAAGACCCCAGAGCGGACTTACATTCGACTTTGAAGGCTTCCCACTCAATGCGCGTGGTGCTGCTTTTAGGGTTTAGGGTTTAGGGTTTAGCGTTTAGGGGCGATGGATTCTTACCAGGCACGATTCTCCCATGTTCCTTCTTGTCCACACTGAATGCCCTGCTCTTGTCCATCAAATGATCCCCCTCCTTTTCGAGTGTCGTCTGTTCTCTACCCGGCAACTCTTTGGCGTCAAGAACGGAAACCCAAAGAACTTAGAAGAAGCAAACGCCCAATAGAACTCTCATGGATGCCATCTGAAGACCCATATAAACACCCTTATACTTATATATGAACCTTCAGGCAACCCTTCTGGAGCCCTAGAAAGGCTACGAGTGGGTCTTTAGAAGTCTCTGCACCTGTCATATCAGTCTCCGCATCGATTTCCACTGTGTCTTGGTGGAGTCCTTGGCAGGGCAGCTTAGAATCTTCGCTTCAGGGTCTACAGTTCTTGGGTTTAGGGTTGAGGCTTTAGGACTTGCCCTAGAAGGGTCCAAGTACTCCCTATTATATGACTTCAGGTCCATTTCGGGTACGTGCCTAGATAAGGACTACTTGGATCCTCAGGGTTGGTTTGCAGTTCAGTTGTAGAGCTTGGGTCTTCCATTCTTCGGGGCTTCGCCTTTAGGCAAATAGAGCCTTTAGGACTCCGTGACAGATCCAACAAAACACGACTCACGACTCAAGCATGTTGGTTTAGAGGCTGTAGGGTTTGGACGCCAAGCCTCTAGACAAGAAACCTAGGATCAGCAAACACGGAAGCAAAGAAGCAAGATACACACCATGTGATGCGAGTACAACCTTGTGCCAATGGTACAGTGTGCCAGGAATTTAAACCAATTTGAGCAACATGTTCAAGCAATCTTGCAATCTTGGTCTCACCGACGAGTTGACCTATTAGACCAGGATTGCCAGGGGGAGAGCAAGATTGCCAAGCCAAAAGACAAGCATATTCCCGGCACAATGAAACGGTAGTTTGCCCAACCCTAAAACCTGAACCCTAAAACCTAAACCCCAAAATCTAAACCCCAAAACCTAAACCCTGAAACCTAAACCCTAAAACCTAAACCCTAAAACCTAAACCCTGAAACCTAAACCCTAAAACCTCAACCCTAAAACCTAAACCCTGAAACCTAAACCCTAAAACCTAAACCCTGAAACCTGAACCCTGAAACCTAAACCCTGAAACCTAAACCCTGAAACCTACACCCCCAAACCTAAACCCTAAAACCTAAACCCTGAAACCTGAACCCCAAAACCTAAACCCTGACACCTAAACCCTAAAACCTCAACCCTAAAACCTAAACCCTAAGATCTAAACCCTAAAACCTAAACCCTGAAACCTAAACCCTAAAACCTAAACCCTGAAACCTAAACCCTAAATCATTTGATCCCCCCACTGCCAGGCTCAGCGCTGCATTGAGAAGCTGAGGGCTGGGGGTATTTAGGGTGTTGGGGGTTTAGGGTTTAGGGTTTAGGGCTTTAGTGTTTAGGGTTTAGGGCTTAAAATTAATCGAGGGTTTAGGACTTACTTACAGGATCATGGGGCTTAGCAAGTAAGGCTATAAGTCCTTTAATTGGGGTTATAAGTATGGTTACTTTAGTTATAACCCTACTTACTAAGTCCCATGATCCTCGAAGTAGGGAGAACTGAGCTCAGTGTCTGCTTCAGCGGATCCATAAACCCTCCTCACCTTAAAGTCTCAGCTGGCTGGGCACAATTTCCCCAGCCCATACTTTACGGCCTGGGGAACTTGGGCCGCTCGGGTATGAGTAGGCTGCAGAAAGGTTGCAGGACTATCGGACGCAGGGAAAGCAACATAATCTAGAAACCTTTATGATGACCAACACTAGTTTGGGGGTTCCGTAGTATAACTGTGGTACATTATGCTCCAAAGCCCGTTTCTAATTTTTAAGGCCCCTATATTAATCGAGCACTTTCACAGACGAAGGAGCCCCCGAAGGAGACGGCGTGCTTCTGATCTGCGCAGGTTGGGCAACCAAGGATTGAAATTCTTCTCGGCGTATATACACAGGTAGATACGCCGTATCTGCTTATTGCGCTGTTACTGCTGCTGCTGCTGCTGCTGCTGCTGCTGCTGCTGCTGCTGCTGCTGCTCAGTCTGGTGTTGAGGGCTTTGGGTTTACATAGGGTTTAGGATTTCGGGTTTGGGGCCAAGGAGGTCTTCAGACATGCCTTCACGATGGGGCCCTGCAGCGTGTAGTTGATGCCAGAGCTATAGCTCTTGACGCTTCTTGATATTCGTCCGTGCAGCAATGGGGCGATCTAGTAAGCTGTCGAGATACCCCCCCGAAGGTACAGCACCCTCATAAAAAAAACCTAAAGCTCTCAAAGCGGCGTGAGCACTGGGAATTGGTGGGAGCAGTTACACCATTTCGGGCTCAGGGTTTAGGACCGTTTTTGCATCAATATTTTCTGACAGAAAAAGGTTCTTCGTTGCCGAGTTACTGACACAAGTTTACCTTTCCATTATGGAAGGGTTGGAAAGGTTGTACGAGCCAATTGTCATCTAATCATGTACTGAATATGATGCACCAAACTTGAAATGCCAAGGACTTTAAAAACCTCAAGACACGAACGAGATGCAGCTTCCATAAGCGACCTGTAAGCAGACGGGGATGCCATGAGGCCAGATGGGCCACATTTGACATGAGAGGTGCGTCTTCCTACTTCTGACTCTACCATGTGGGGCTTCTTGAAAACAAAAGGATCCTTTTGTTCAGACATTCCTAAACCCTAAACCCCCTTTTCGAGAAGCAAACCCTCAACCGCCAATCCCAGCACTTGCTGCCTGGCCTGGCTTCTCTGGAATTGGCCGCATGGCCACTTCGGGCTTCTCTTTGAGCCGAGCGCGCTCCTCCCAGTCCTCCGGCGGTGGGACCAGTTTTGAAAAGCTTTCAGACACCTTGGTCCCAAAAAAGGGGGTGCTAGGTATCTATAGCACTTAACTAATTAGGTATCTATAGCACTTAACTAGGTATCTATAGCACTTAACTAGGTATCTACAGCACTTAACACCCTGCGTCGAAGGTTTTTTGATGTACACCTCGAGTTCGGTCCTCTCTGGTCAAAGCCATGCCAATGCTGTTGGACCTTTGGTCCATCGGCTCAGCGTGAAACATTCCTTGTAACCCTCCTTTTGCCCCAAAGGGTCCAAGTAGTAATATTATATGGTAGCTACTTTGTAGGTATTTGGGCCCCCAAAGTATATACTATACTATAACTTGGACCCTTTGGGTGCCATCCCCCAAATTACAGGGTTGTTCGGGACCGTCCTGTCCACTCACACTCGGTGCAATAACATTCACGGGCGGCTCCTGTTCTTTCTGCGTGGAACTTTGTTGTGCTTTGTGGTGAGACATCTTCTAATGTCTCGCTCTCACTACACCTTATCTTCCATGATCTCGAAACAGTTTACTTACGGCATTGGTCCCATCGTCCTGGCTTCGGTGCTGTCCGGGGTGTCATCTCCGTGTTCCCGGCTCCTGTACCTCACTCGCACCATTCTTCTCCTCCGACCAATGCTGGTGCCTGCCGGGTGTCTCCCCAACTGCATCCCCTGCTCTTGCTCCCGCTGCTTTGCTTTTATTCCATCAAGCTTTCTGCTGCTGCAAGTCGGTCATACGCGTCCTGCTCTTCCTCTTTCATGTTGGCCGTCTCATTCCAACCATTCCTTCTCAGCTTGGCGATTGCTCTGCATCCACTCGTTGAAGTGCTGCTCCTCTTCTGGATTCTGGTTTCTTCGTTCAGCCAAGGTTTGCTCCCCTATAAACCCTAAACCCTAAATCCTAAACCCTAAACCCTAGACCCGAAATTCCTATATCTTAAGCCCTAAACCCTAAATGCTCATACGGAAGCGTCCCTCTTCGGGCATGATCATGGCGAACACGCCATTCCATCTCGCTGTAATCCCTTGTGCATTCCACGCACGCACAATTTGATGATATGACCCTTTAGATTTCTCCAAACCCCAAAACAATGAGAACCCTAAACCCTAAACCCTAGACCCTAAAACCCTAAAGCCCGAAGCCCCTGCAACCCTAAACCCTAAAAGCCCTGTCCTTGCTCATGGTCCGGCCCATCGGTCGGCCCGCCATCTCGCCGTCGGAGACCTAATGGGGGGCCTTAATAATTAGAATAGGGTTTTGGGGTTCCACTAAAGGGTTCCATAAGGGCTACTATAAGGGTTTAGGGTTTAGGGGCCTTATTAATTTGAATAGGGTTCGACCTGGGTTGGCAAACAGCACCTTGAACCCAGCAACTCAACACATGCCTGGAAAAAAACAAACATTGTGGGCTCGGACTGTAGAACCTCTGAAACATACTCGCACATATCTCTACAACCCAGTGATGGAAAATGAGAAACTTCCCCGTGGCCTACCGAACAACAGATCTGCTAAGTCCAGTGAATCCCATGATCCTGCAAGCATCCCCGCTGGGCTAAAGCTCGCAGAAATTCAGGCCCAAGCGTTCACTTCGTGTCTTCCTAAACCCTGAACCGTAAACCACCCCACCGGAATGCTTTCTGAACCCACTACCCGCCTGACGCACAGAAGCCTATGCCTGCCGGAACATATGGGCTCACACAATCGTGTATATTTGTGTTGCGGGGTGCTAAGCCCTAAACCTGA